TACACATTTTCAAAGCAAAGAATAACAGAGACCTTGTGACACTCTCCTCATTTGCTACATAATTTTCTGCAAGGATACAACTCAGTAGTATCTTTCGTAATCTTTTGGTGTTTGGCTCTTTGTTTTCAGAGGGGACATTACTGCTGGAGTTTGCAGAAGTATCTGCTCAAAAGCTAACTAGAGATCTGCTACTCAAAGTGTAGTCCAGGGACCAGCAGTATTAGCATCACCTGGGAACTGGTTAGAAATACAAATTCTCTGGCCCTGTCTATGAACTCATTCTCTAGGGTTGGGATCAGAAATCTATGCTATAATAAGCCTCTTGGGTGATTTTTCGCAGAATAATATTTAACAATTGTTTACTGTTCTAAACCCATGCTACTCAAAAGAGTAGCAACTCCTAGACAACAAAATAAGCATCTCCTGGGAGCCCGTAAGAATTGTAGAATCATAGGTCTCATCCCAGACCCCTGAACCAGAATCTGCATTTTAACAAGATCCACGGGTGACTCGTGTAAACATCGGAGTTTGAGGACTGGTTTAGAAGAATAGCCCCTTCTTCATTTGGAGAGTCTCCTTCCATCACCTACTTAAGTGACCTAGGTTTGATTTCTCCAGGGAGAAAATGGTTTTCTGTGGTGCTCTCACCCATCCTAGGCTGAATGAATCCACATTAACTAGAATAGAAATTGTGGCTTGCACATTTAGGGGACAGAAGTTCATATTTCTTGCATGTGGAAACAAGGTGCTGTAGGCAATGACTTTCACCTTTCCTAAGTCTGAGCTGTGGGAATAATTGATGGGATGAAACCATCTGAAATATTTAAAATACAAGAACTTCTTATAACTCGTAGATTTTGCAGTTTTTTCCCCTCTTTCTCTTTTCTTTCCTTTTTTTTTAAGTAAATGAGGATAATAAAAATAAGGGCATATTTCAAGTGGCTATTTCTAAGGTGCCTAATGGCTTATCAATTAATTAGTTTTGATCTGTTCAAATAGCTAAGTCAGGAATTTATACAATCTGAAACACAGCTTTTGACCGCTTTG